ATGAATGAATACAAAGAACATGTTTGTTTTAAGGATTAAGTGTTTTTTTTCTTCAGGTTTTATGAGTTTTGAAAAAGAATATTACCAAGTAGTGTTCAATCTCAAAAACATAATATGATACCATGTTTTACATTATCAAGTTAAGTTTCCTATTTTCTAAAATAATTATAAATAAATAAATAAAAAACCTCACTTATTTCATAGCAATTTGGAAAGTGTTTTTTAGTAGTAGTCTCACATACCTTAAGCACGCATATAGATTAAATTGTTATGACTAAACGTGGCTTGGCTGATAGCACAAGTATATGATCTCGCTTGGCTGTAGAATATTCTAGGGACAGACTCAAACGTTCTAAACCCCACAAGTGAAGACAGAATTATACAATACGACACTTAAATTAGGACCCCCTAAGAACTGAGTTCAAGAAACCTCTGTGCCATGGGGTGCTTGGCTTCAGAGAGTTTATCAGGCTTCAGAACTTCAACAATTTCACCATCAACAAGCAGGCACACTATGTCAGCGATCCTCTGGATTTGTTTGATGCTATGAGAGACCATGATCACTGTCATGCCCCGATTCTTGTTCAGCTTCATCAGTGCATCCTCTATGTTTTCTGTGGATATTGGATCTAACGCACTAGTTGGCTCATCCAGCAACAAAACCTTCAATTAAAAAAAAACAGAACAAATAAAAACAATGTCAAAGACAAAAATAAACTAGGAAGAAATTAATGTTACCTCTGGTGAATTAGCTAAAGTCCTAGCAAGTGCAACTCTTTGAGCTTGGCCCACAGAGAGTTCAGCCCCGGACTTATCCATGAAAGAAGCATCTAGGTCAGCCATTATCAGCAACTTGCGCACCTCATCATCGCTTAATTTTTTACCTCTAAGTTGTGGTCCATACCTCACATTGTCTGCAACTGTACCTGTACAACAGAACAAACACCCTCCATCACTAATACCATGTTAAAACAACGACAAAGTTTCGGAAAAGAAAAAAAAATAATTTTCATCCAATTCTTAAATGATTACAAACAAAACAATCAATGAATTAGCGACAAAAATTAATAACAAAATTTGTTCCTTCCCCTAACTCCGCTACCACACAAATTTTAATGACAAAAGGTCAATAAAAACTTAGTTACAAAATTTAATAAGGAAAATTGCTTTTTCTTCGCACCATCAATAACATCAATATTTTATGCATGTCTTATATTCAAACAACTGTGACCTCTTTTTTTTCACTAGAACCATGACACAAAATTTGTGTCTTTTATAAAATACGGTAACTTATAAATAGAAAAAGTTGTTTTTATGCCATCAAAGTGAAAAAAGAAAAGAGAAAAAGTCGATAAGTTATATGCAGAAAAATATTTAATAAGAATTATTTAAAATTTTACTGTTGAAATGAAAATGTAATAAATTACTAATAAATTATTTAAATAAGACGTGATAACGTGAGACCAATAAAATAAAATATGGTATGTACTTAAATAACTTTAGGGTGTTTAGGGTTTAATATTACAAAAATTCTAGCGATGATTTTTAAAGTTTTATATAAATGATTGAATTAAATATGTTTTTAGTTTTTAATTTTAATTTTTTTAATTTAATTTTTTAATTTTTAAATAAATTTTATTTGATTTAAATCATTGAAATTTTTTTACAGAAATAAAAAATTTTAAAGTTAGAGATCAAAATGTAAACTAAAGAAAAAATTTAAAAGACTAAAAGTAAAAAAGAATAGCAAAATTTTATAGATTAAAATTAATAAAAAAGAAATTGTTGAAAAATAAAATATAAGAGTTAGTGAATTTGGAAGTATAAAGTATAAACATATTTAATCTTAAATAATGAAAGAAACGTAGCGGTAAGTGTAGTATTGAAAGAAAATGGTGACCTTGAAAGAGGGCAGGGAGCTGAAAGAGCATCCCAACGTTGCGACGGAGAGAGAGAACGTCGAGATGAGCGATGTCTTGGCCGTCGAGGAAGACGGAGGCGGAGGGTGGTTCCCAGAGGCGGTTTAAAGCCCTCAAGAGCGTTGACTTTCCGCTACCGCTGGGACCTATGACCCCCACGATGACAGCCTTTGGGATGTCTAGGTTGATGCCTTTGAGGATGGGAACCCCATCGTCCGAAACTCTTGTCAGATTTCTTATTTGGAATTTGGGTTTCTCATTTGCATCCACCTCCAGCAACACTTCCCTGCACTCATCTGTCAGAGTTAAAGCAGTTAGATAGAGTTAGAATGAAGCCTCCTCATGTTTCTGATTCAATCAACGCTTACCTAGGAGACCAGACATTGCTTCTGCCTTCACCTTCTTGCCACTTGCCACAATATGAGATTGAGAATATCAAAAACGCCTGCCCCGGTTGTGTTCTCCAAGATTCCTCCCCTTCAATTTCAAACAATCATCTCTAATATTCTAATCCATATCAAAATTATTAATAAAACTTATAATAATAAAAAGGCAAATATGACTTGATGTGATCCAAAATCTCAATTGGGCCGGCCCAAAAAACTGAAAAAGAAAGAAATGGTACTTGGACTTAAGTATGGTGACATGGCAATTTGGTAGTGGTCGCAAAAACGTGGCAAGCGAAGTGGAAGATTATAATTCCCATTCTCCCAAAAAACAAACGTTGTTCGCGATTGCCATATTCGTAACCGTACAACAAAAAGCATGCCGCGGCCCAACTGGTTCTTCCTCTCTCTCATCCTCTCTCTCTCTCTCCTCACTCTCTCTCTCTCCGTCGCCGCCCGCCACTTTGTCCTCGTCCTCTCCCAGGAGGACTTCAAGGACGAGCCCCCCGCCGATCCCGACTCCGCCGCCGAGTGGGACGAGTTCGGCGACGGAGACGCCCACAAGTCCGAGGATGACCTCGACCCCGGCTCATGGCGCCCCATCTTCGAGCCCCCTCCC